TCTCTCTCTCTCTCTCTCTCTCTCTCTCTCTCTCTCTCTCTCTCTCTCTCTCTCTGAGATAAGCACATCTTTACTGGTAGTCTATAATAATAGTACTGCTGAAAAAGCTCGAATCTGGAATAGAATAAAGCAATAAAGAGCGCCCTCATGAAGTAAGAAATAAAAGAACGGAGAAACTGATCACTACTAAAAATGTGAAACTCCATGTTACTATATCTTATACTAAGATTCCAGATAAATTTCCAACTACAAGTTTTAGCTCAACCCCACTTCCACTTCCTTTAAGAGCAAAAGATACAATTAATTAGAGCCTTATCAGTTTTGCCAAGGGACTTGGTGGTGCATGGGAACCAACAGAGTAAAGTTTCTCTCCTTCCTAACAAAAGAAAAGCAAACTTCCTTTTCATAATATTAATAGGAAAACCTTAAGAGAAATACAAGCAGTCACTCGAAACAGATGAGCCTGAAAGTTCTTCGCATTTGTTGATAATTTAGAACTGACGCGCAGAGAATTCGATCTTTACTGGCAAATATATACATTTATGTATAATTTCTGTATATACGCAAGTAGGAAAAAGAATGGAAAAAAGAAATAAAGGAAGAAGAAAGTTAAGTCTGCTTCCATAGCATATGTATAACACTTACAGATGACATAATGAAGAATCAATTCCTTATGTCTTTTCCTTTTCTTTTTTCGTTTTTTGTTCTATGATATATTTTCAAGTGGACAAAAAGCAAAGCACTCTGAACAACGATATTGTCTTAATATAATAACACATTTTCATTTCTATTGATATATCTTTACTAACAAAGTTATCACTAACCAAAGCACAATTAACAAAGTATATGTTGCAATTGGCGCAAACTCTTTGGTATTTTTTTTCTCTGTAAAGAACAAGAAAGAAAGAAAGAAACATTATACAAACATTTTCAAAATAAATAAAATAATAATAAGAATAACCCATAAAGATGGTATTGTGTAATGATAAAGGTGATGATTTTCATGCAGAATAATATTGGATTTGCATTGGGTCTTTGGTTCTCCTTCTATTTGTCAGAAGACGAGAGCAGCAGCCTTTCTTCGTTTTTTCTTTTCTTTTCCTTTTCTTTTCTCCTTTTCTTCTTTTTTCTCTCTTTCCTTTCCAACATGGACTGTTTGCTCAGTTAATTCAGTTGAGACCCAAGAGAGAGAGAGAGAGAGAGAGAGAGAGAGAGAGAGAGCTTAGCTAGCCAGAGACCCCCCAAGATAGAGAAAAGAAAGAAAAAGTTGATGACCAAACCAACTTCTTTGGCCTCTCACGTTTGAAAGGAACTTGCGGGGGAGAGGGTGGTGGCAAAATACAGATGACGAGGATAATGACTTTGTCCGTCTGTGAGCCTGTGACTGTGACTTTGATGAGTGTGTGTTTATTATTCTCTCTATTGAATTTTTTTTTCTTTTTTTCTTTTGGGTTTTCTCTTCTACCCATGATGATCTGGGTTGTCAGGGTCAGGCCAGAAGGAAGAGTACTTCATCCACTCTGCCTCTTGAGGGTTTGGCATGGATGACTCCTGCAACAAAATGAATCGCAAACGTGCCCGGTTTAGATTAGGATTAGTAGGGTTTCTATGAAACTAATTTTCTGATAAATAAAGAATTTTCTCTTAAAACTGTAAGTACGATTAGCAGATAATTAACAACCGAAAAAAGAGCCCGGGGGGAAGCTGCTACTTGAAGGTATCACAACCTGTATTTTCTAAAAGTGAAAAAGAGAGTTTCTACTTGAGTTTCAGTTGAAGGCTGGTCGTTTTCACAATGTACATTGCTCTCTCTCTCTACATATAATTGCCTATTTTATTAGGGTACTTGATCTGATCAAAAAAGGAATTAATGGAAACACAATTTTTGTTTACTATCTGAATTTAGAAATGATAATGATAATGAGAAATGAAATGGTGGTAATAAAAAGGTCACATGCACATAGCTTTGTGTTTTGAATTTTGCTATTTTGAACATTATGACGGCTTTACAGTCAAGTAACAAGAAAGATTATATTCTATAGACTAGCTAGAGTCTAGATATGCTAAGTACGTCTACCAAAACATATATATATATATATATATATAAATGAAAAACAAAGATAAAGAGAAAAGGGCAAAAAGGCTTTGGCTTCTCCTATCTTTAATTTAAATTAATAGTAATAAAGAAATTGGTTTTTGTTGCTTTTGGTTCTTTGTAATCCATTGGCTTACTTTTTCTTTCTTTTCACTTGTGATTCGTCGGCATTATGACAAAACAAAGGTCATGAAATTCAGAGTCAAAAAGTAAGATCGATATATCTACTCACTTCTTTTACATTACTGCTGGAGGTGCATCCCATTATGAGTTCTTCCAAACCAGATGCAGACCTTGCTCCCATTTTATGATGCTGTTGTTGTTGTTGCTGCTGGTGCTGTTGCTGCGCCTGTAGTCATTCAAAAGACAATCCACCAAAAAGAAAATTAATTAATTAATAAAAACTCATATATGTATCATAATGATATTGTCTTCACGGATTAAAAAAGTGAAAAGACAGTTTTCATGCTTGCAATTTAGCAAACACCAAAAGCAACACCAGGGATGAGTTTGCCACATATACAACATGGCTTAGACGTAATGAGTTTTAGTTATGTGGATGACCTAATTATTATGACACACGACCCGGGTGGAACTCAGTCCGAGTCATTGACTCGGCTTTTTCTCTCTCTCTCTCTCTCTCTCTCTCTCTCTCCCTTCCTTTGTTGAGGAACATCTTTTTTAATGAAAGTTTGGCGGGACAAATTAAATACACACCTCATAAGAACATGTACGTGACCACTACAAGAAAATAAAAGGAGAATAATGTAAAAACAAACCAACTAGAAAAATTATACGCACTATTCCTTTTACAGGCCATGAGCTCTAAGTGACATGGATGGATGAATATATATTGGGTTTTGTTAAATACCTGGAAATTTTCATTTTGGAGCATGATTCGAGAGTAAGAGTCTTGGTCAAGAATGATGGAGGTGTGATGGAGAGGAGGTGGAGAGATGATGGTGGAAATGGGATGTGAAGGACGGCTGATGTGGAAAGCTGTAGCAATTTGTTGATGATGTAGTTGCTGCTGCTGTTGTTGATGTTGATCATGCTGATGGTGATCAGGTACTACTTCATGGGCCATATGATGATGATGATGATGATGAGGCTGTGGTACTGATCTCTGGTGGTGGTGCTCCCCTCTCATCTCTTCGCACGTGCCGGAAGCCGGTCCTTCCCTTGCTGTTGAAGCCTCTCCTCCTATCCCCACCTGCAAATGGACACCCCATGAACAAATTCGCTACCATGTCTATTTTTTTATCAACCACTGTTAATTGATCACTTCCCTTTTTTTCTTTTTATTGTTTTAATTTCTATATGTATGTAATTTGTTTACGAGTGCTACCCTTTTGGTGGGTAAACTGGTTTTTAGTTAGATGACAGTGATAATCAAGAGAGGTCCATGAAATTTGTAATGCCACAAATGCAAGCAATAGGTATGAGAGGAAAATAGTTAACAACATTGAAACCTTTTTGATAGCAACATATATTTACATAATATATGACTAATCAAATTGTTGGAAAAGATTAACGTAAAAAACAAAATGATGTTTATAAGTGTTTGATTTAAAAATATAAGTTGCATGGAAATTAATTAAAATGAAATTAAAAATATAAGTGTGAGTGTGTATATATATATATGAATATGAAAATTAAAATAATCACCTCATCAAAGCTTTTTCTGAATGGGGCAAAGCTGAAGTGGTCTGATTTCAACTGATGAATGTCCATGGCACTGTAACTTGAAATAGGAGCAGCAGCTGCAACCCCAGATGCTACTGCAGACATTTGGTCATGCTCTCTATGAGAATGAGAATGAGAATGGGGTGGTATTATTTCTTTAGAAGAACAACTCCCACTGCCACTATCTCTTCTGCTATTAGCAGGCACAATATCACTGCTTCCTTCACCAGTGGTTGCGCTTGCTCTATCAGACCAGTTGCATTGCCTGGGCTGTGTCTGATAGAATATCTTCGACACCACAAGCTCTCCTTCTTTCTCTTCCTCATGCTGCCCAAGATGGTATTGGTGCATCACCCAATTCGTCTTTTCGGGTTTTCGATTTTTCCCAAAGTTGGTGTAGAGGACCAGGATTTTCTTGCACCCTTTTTGTTTGCCATTCACCATGACTGGCCTGGTCTTGCCTGTCTTGTGCCACCTTGTTTCCCCTCCTTGCAAGTCACATTCGGTTTGAATTTTTCTTCTTTTTCTTGTCCCAGTCGTGTAAGCTTTCGAAGGTCTGTGGAAGAAGTGCCTGCTCAAGCCATCTCTTGTGACTCCTGTTGCAAGAAATAATGTGGTCAAGCAATCAAATCAAAGTTAGGTTGACTTAGGTATGACAAACTTTCACCCAATTAATATTGAGATTCTTCGAATTAAGTCATAACCAACTGAAGCAGTGTATGGGAAGAAACAAACTAATTGCAATTCATAAAATTTCAACTTAATTAATTTGAGAGAGAGAGAGAGAGAGAGAGAGAGAGAGAGAGAAAGAGTAATTTTCAAATAGTGATCATCACCTGGAAGTTTTTCAGGATGGGTGTAACAAATCCCATCTTCTCCTTCAATTGTAGGGATGAACTCATCAATCAAAGGGTGAGACTTGGTGTCTTTGCCTTCTACCTTTGCTTCAAGGTGTTCAATCAGTTCTTGGTCTGTTGGATCAAATTTCACTCCTGCTGGTAGACCTAACCAATCCTGCAGCAAACTCCATTTAATTTAGTAATAAGTTTCAAGTAAAAATATTGAATTAAAGCAAGAAAGGAGAACAAACAAATTAAAGTAAAAGATAAAGATGAACCCTTTTTATATAAAATTTTTTATTCATATTGAAAATAATTACTATCAAATTTTATATACAAGAAGCAAAATACTTTCATATGCCAAATCCTTTTTGTAGAAGATAAGAATAGTATTGGATTAGTATAATTATCCGTACCGGCTTTCCTTCGAGTTTGTGTCCACAACCGGGGCACTGCTTGGATCCACACATCTGATGCTCTTCAAGCTTGGCATCAATGAGATCAGAGCTTCTGATGGACCCCAAATTACTCTTATTCATTGCTCTTTTCAACGTCCAGGATTGGATGCTATCTTCTTTCTCTCAAACTCATCAACTTACATATGAAATTGTCACCAACCTTGTATAACAGCCTGCTGCTCATATCCCAGCTGCTTGCTCTCTATACAGAAATCACACACAACTTTGATTGAGATCTATCGATCGATATATCAACTGTGTGCACAAAAGCGTACTCTTCAAAAATAAAAAAGGAAAATAAAAAAGAAAAAGAAATGAATTTGATTGATATATATTTGTTGGATTGGTTCAGGAACTTGATGAAAGATCAAAATATGAACAAACTATAGAGCCTTTCTCAAGCAAGAAGTACAGCTTCATCAAGCTGATGAAGTATGAAAACAAAATCTTTATATGAAAAGAAATATAAACACAAGTTTTGCAGATTGGAAAGTTGTTTCCTTGGCTGAAACTGAAACCAATATGAAAAAAGAATAAATTTTGGAAAACCCAAATGAGAAAATAAGCACCCAAGACAGAAAATACAAATATATTTTTATTGAGGAAAATCAGTGAGCAGGAGGAGAAGAAGCTGAAGCTATAGGAGAGAAAAAGAGGAAACTGTCGCAGTGAGGTTGAGCTATAAACCTGCTTTAACCATGGAAAACACCAGAGCTGAGAGTTGCCTCTCTACTTTAACTGAAGGGGCAGTGAGAAAAAAAAGGAAAAGTTGCTCTCAAACCCCTATACTACTACTACATACCACCTTTAAGCCTTAAAGCCTTTGCTAATTTAAGCAGCGCATGTAGCTAGGCGGTTTAGGAGAGAGAGAGAGAGAGAGAGAGAGAGAGAGAGAAACACACAGAGACAGACAGAACCACAGACACGCACATACACACACACAGAAGAAGAGGATAGAAAGAAAGAAAACCAAGTTGGTTTTTCTAAAGCTAGCTAGCTCATCAAGGCCTCTCCCTCACCTTTGTTTGAGCCTTGACTACAAAAGCAAAAGGCAAGAAACGGCCTTCACAGCTGTTACTAAAGCAGAGGAACCCATCTTTCAGATAGTACTAATATATTTATTGGAAAAAAATCAAATAAAAAATTGAGTGATACAATATTACAGTATCTGTATATATATATTACTTGTTTATAATAAAATAATGGTTGGTATTTTCATGGTAAAAGGTGGATGTCAATAAAGTTGATATTTAAATGCTTAAAACCCAAAAAAAAAAAAACAAAACAAAACAAAAACAGAGACATACTTGAACTTATACGTGGCAGCAGAGACTTTGAGTGACAAAGACGAAATCAGGAATTTTACACTCCCAGAAATTTTTACTTTATTTTTGGTTTTGTATAACAGATTATAGTTAAGAGGCATAATAAAGCCAAATCTTTTCTTCATGGCAGTGAGAGAAAATGAAAAAATAGCAGAGAAGAAAAAAGAAAGATGATAGGTACTCACATGGGTTTTGAGCTGGAGTGCTGATCATGATGCTTTTGCCATGAATGTTGCAGAGAGAGAGGAGAGAGAGGAGAGAGAGAGAGAGAGAGAGGTATTAGAAGGTTGCTTGATAAGCAAGGCAAATGAGCAGTGTACTTGATGGACCACCACCACCCCTTCTAATTAGAACTTATGCAAAATCATATTAAAGAAATTTTACAAAACTTGAGGTAGAAGCACCCAATAAATTACTTCATCCGAAAAGAAATGATATATATATATATATATATCATTTATAACTGTAGTATTATATTTTCTATTGGTCCCTCTTTCTGGCTTGTGTTATTTCTACTTAGGGGAGAAATCTAAAGTACCAGGCACTCATACCAATTATGCTAGCCTCCTATATGTGAAAGATGTAGGGCCCACCCTTGTGTGGGCCTCAAGCCCTTGTGGCATGGAAAATCTTGTGCTCTCAAACGTGTCTTGATATATCAGATGATGGTGAGCCCTCACGTTTATAACATTCATTCAAGCAGTCAAAAATAAAATGATGGATGGTCCAACATGCTGCTTACACAACAGATAGATGTCCATGATTACTCATTTGTCTGATATCCCCTCCTTTTTTCTTTATTTGGTAAAAAGAATTTCCTAATTTAATTCAATTTGTTAATTTATTCGGGTCTTCAATTGTGTGTATCTTTAATAAAAGATCATTGATTTTTTTTGATTTTTTTTGATTTTTTTTGATTTTTTTTTATAATACAAGTGATAGTTTAAGTTATTCTGATCTGTGGGAATGAGAATTCGAACTTAAGTGTAAGGAGTTAGGTTCACTGTCCTGACTAATTGGCCTCACTGATGCCTGCAAAGATAATTGATTCTTCCAGAGGTGAAGATAAATACAGGGGGCAAAACCATTAAACTTGTAGAAAGCCTTGGGTTTGTTGTGTCCTTTTTGTCCTAAGGGAATGAAAGAATCAGACTGAGTAAGCCAACAGCAGAACCCACATTTCTCAACACTGTTTATATATGTATATATACTCTATTGATATATACTTTGCATGTGGCATGTGTATCTCCAAATTGAATGTATTTATCTTGAAATTAGAAATGGGTTATGTCTTTTCTTTAAAGGGAAAAAATGCGGCAAGGAATATTAACTATATATATATATATAATTTGTCAAGAGGAATATTAGCTGTATATATAACAAGGATCAATTCAAATTCAGCATTGCATATGAAATATTCCAAGAACTTTCAAAGTACTTGCATTATTTAGGCACATCTTTACGAGGAAAATACTCCCCTTTCTATGAATTGAAGTAAAGACAGGTATGAGAATATTTCTTACAAGTAGGTTGGTAGAATAATAAGACTTGGTACATCTCAAATTTCATTAAGATTCAGCCCAAGGAATTATATTTGCATTTTATACAAAATGACACGCAGAAAAAAGTGACCTGAACAAAAATCAAAACAATAATATCGGGAAGGACAAGGACTTTAGACTTTAGCTCAAACTTGATGATGTCCGAGACCAAAAGAAATTGTTTCATACGAATACTGTATTTGAGCACATCCCCTTTTCAAATGCTCCAGAGGCATACCGCATGCTCGCTCACGCACACATACTTATAATCGAATATAGTTAGTGAAGACTTGTATCCTTTTTTTATTTTTTATTTTATTTTTATACAAGCGATATTGAAGGAGGGAGGTTTGCAAATACACACTGACAAAGTGTCATTAGGGTTCGAACATAAGACCACGAGTTTACAAGTCATGATCCTTTTCTACTGAGCTGAACCGTTGGCGTAAATGACTTATATCTTTGATGCTGGCATTAGTGAGCATATAATTCCTCACTCAAAGTCAAAGTTAGAGTTTGAATACTCCTCCTGGGGTGAGAAGACCATCTGGTCATCAAAATAATGGTCGCAGGAAGCAAACAACGTACTTTAATTAGAAAAAATATTCATGATGAAGATGAGTTCTATCATAATGGTGTTTGTGCATGCATGTTTGCAGATTTCTCATTGTCAATCAGATGGTAAACTGCGTATGAGTGGGTGGTTGCAAAATGCCAATGGATGCTCGACAGAAGCAGCAAAACCGTCGGCATATTAATGATTTCTGAAAGCAGAAAGTGAGAGAGAAGTAGAGGAGACAAAAGAAAAGAATATAATTTTTTTCTTCTTTGCTTTTCTTTTCTTTGTTTCGTTTCTTTTTCCAGGTTGGCCAGAAAAATAAAAAGAAATTAGAAGAACGTTGAGATTATAGAAGACAAGGATAGAGCACGAACGTGCAAGTTATGTCATTTTAGTTTGGTACGACTAAAATGCTTTGGGAGAGGAAGAGCAGAAGTGATGTTAGGTTTATCTACCATCTAACATTGCTTCCGCTTCTTCACCAATTTTTGCACTTTGACTTTCCATTATCATTGCAAATTCTATCTAACATCTTTCTCTCAGTTTTGTTCAAATCAATATAGAACTGGCAAAGCCACCACTAAATACAACATTAATAATAATGATTATAATACTAATCACAATAGCTTGAATTGCGTCGGGTTATCGGGTAAATCAAGCTAAAAATATATATGACAGATCATACATGGCACTGCAACTCACAGCCTGACAAACTCTACCAACAAAAATTTATATAAGCCGTACGTATCAAAATGCTGCTTATCCAGAATCATCAATTTATTGGTTGACACTCTGAAATAATGTACAAAGTTTCCTCGTTTATCTGAAATTCTTGTATAGGAGCTCTGTAAATGCATACGTTGAAACACTACGAATCAGGTTACTACCCAGTTCAGTGCATGAAACCAACTCATTTTACATGGAACTTTTTGCTGACTGAGTCATAGCTTGGGACTTTAGTAACTGCAAAACAAGATTGTGAAACGAAAAGGCATTAGAGCCGAAGGATACTTGCGAGCCAAAAAAACAGAGAATTGTCACTAAGCTGGGTACATACCATCTCCATATGATGCCATTGTAAGAGGGGAAGATAAAAGCTTTTGACCAATTGAAGCAATATCCTCCAAAGAAACCTCATCCACAGCCTTCAAGAGTTGGCTCAGTTTCCTAACAAGACAATATATTTCCATGAAGAGAATACCAGAAGCGGACTTCTTTCAAGCAGTTTATGCAAATTATAAAACATGTAAGCAGCAAATGGTATCAAAACACTTAAAAAAGAGTTCCATGTGAAAATGTGCGTGTATGAAAGGGAGAAGAGTAGTGAGTAGTGACATGACAATCCTTTTATCAGAGAAAACTAACAAGCAAGGTTCACATCTGACACAAAGTTCATCACAAACATATATAGGCATGAGAAAGGCCATACCATTCATTGTACGTCAGAATTTGCCTCCCAAGATCATCTGCAACAACCATCTACAGAACGCAAATCAAAAGTAAGCAAATAAAATAAAATTTATAAAAATCTCGACACCAAGATACACAGATCCTAGAAGTATAAATCAAGTATAAAGCTATTGTTACGAAATTCACTGATTGTTTACATACTCTGGATTCCAAATTCATAAGAATGGAGGACTTTGTTGACTTTTTAGCACGATCTAGCTGTACCTGGTCGACTGTGTATAAGAGAAAATAACATGTCAGTGACTGTTTCCAATTTTCAAGTAAAGCAAGGCGATTAAGAATCAAAGGAAGCCAAGATAACCTTCTCCAGGTGTTGCAATCGCAATAAGCTCATTAGCTGCTATATCAATGGCTTTTGTGACAAAATCTGAACCCTGAAATCCAGATACGGCTCCTAAATTATTTACACATATATCTAGAAACTAAATTTTCCTATTTCAAATTTCACATGACATATAGTAGTTACTTACAGTGGCAGCTTGGATGCCAAAAATGCCAGTATTGTTGTAGATGCTACTGAATGCTGAAATGGAATGTAATTCTAAATGTTGATTTAACACACGAGAATCTGCAAATCATACAGCAGCACATATATTCAGATGCCAAGGTTATTTAAATCAGAAATAAATATATTAAAAAAAAGAATGGTATAGCTGAAATATAAAACAAAGGGATCCTACTTCCTAGTGACTTAGATGCTCCTATGCAAAACAAATGTATAAACAAGACCTCTTGAAGCATTAGTGTCTTTATTGTACTTTTTTTTTTTTTTTTGCATTATTTAAATTCCTGTTTGTGTCTTTTGAACAACTTACATAGACGTGAGTGCATCCCTTTTCCAGGTCCGCCAGCTGAAAAAGATCCACCTCCTCCCATTAGCACCTACAATAAACTAGATTTATTACTGCTTTCCAGTTTCCAATCCTATTAAAGAGCATAGAATGAAAATTTTAAATGCATATGATAACTAAAGTAAGAAGGAAAGCGCAAGGAGTTATAGTTACTGGAGAAAGACAATAATTGATATAGACCTGAAGAACATTCACAATCATTGCATCCTTCTCATTGAGCCAACCACCAGGAAGTTCAAATGCAAGAGCAAAATGAGTTTCCTGTCGCAATGCAAATCAAACTTATTGATGAACAAGAAAGAGAGGATAGAAAATTTAGACCAAACATATAAGATACGCACCCCTGAATCACCTTGACCACGGTAATCACCTCCAGTATACACAGATTTTGGCTCCTTGGCAGGAGGGACACTGGGGAGATCAGACAAAAGTGGTTCTGCAATTTTTAGAAGCTCCTCATGTTCAACACCATAAGCCGCAAGTACCATTCGAGGAGCAGTATAATTTTCCTGAAATTCTCAATAAAAACATCAGTTTATTGGGAAAGATCGACTAAGAAAATAAATAAATAACTAACAAACATAAAAGAACACAATGAATAATATGCATTCAATAAACTTACAGATAAAAATTCCTCCAAAATGTTACTGTTCAGTCTACTAATTGAAGATTCTGGGGCTAAAAGTGGATTTGCCAAGCCACCCTTGTAACCAACAGAGTGAACAGCTTCCAAAACAAGGGCTTCAAGGTTGGTGGAGGCTTCACTAATATCATGTTTCACCTTCTGAAGCTGTAAAATATGGAATACAATACCAATATTAGCCATATATTTGGCATGGCATGTAAATTTTTGGCAAAAGAACAGCAAGACTCTGGAAATTTACCTCCTCATTGATCTCCCAGTCCAGGAAAATAGGGTTCCGAACACAGTCAATAAGAAGCTCTACCATTTCAGGAACATAAGTCTTTAGAGCATTGAAGGTGTAAGCCATCTGCTCCCGAGAAGCTGAGGCCTGCACGTTGCCACCAATTGCCTCCACCTCCCGCACAATACGCAAATGGCTTCGGTTTCTTGTGCTCTTAAATGCCATATGCTCCAGAAGGTGAGTGGCGCCAGATGATGCCGGTGTCTCATAGACCGAACCACAATTAACATATAAACCTACTGAAGCTGCTGGTTTCTGGTTGACCAACAAAATCCAACAGTAAGCGAGTTAAAATTCTTAATCCCCCGTTTCGGGGAAACAAGAAATAGAAAAGAATAAGCACTTCCAAGGACATACCTCTGACTTCAGAGAAGCTATTTTGATACCATTTGGCAGAGTTGTAATCTTGGGTTCCACTGGTTGAACATAGTCAGGCAATGCAGGTGGGAGTTTGATGCCTGAAAGTGGAAAGTCTAGAGGAGGCATAGACCTGGACTTTCCCCCAGTCAGCCAGCCAAAAAGAACTCCAAAAGGAGAGGAGGACGGCGGCTTCGTGGCAACATCATTCAAACTTGAAAATCTGGCCACTCCCCTATTGAATGTACTTGTACGACCCTGATCCCCTCGTTTGAAATCATAGAATATCAAAGTTACATTCTATGATCAGATTACCAACACACATAGAAACACATAGACAGACATACATACATTATTTCCATTTTCATATACTTTGTATGTTTATATGAGTTCCATATATTTTGCCCAGAAACTAAAAGACTGAACTTTTTTTTGGGGCAAATTATTGAACCACAACTTCACCAAAACTTGCACGAATTTGAATTTTACTCTTGTAGCATGTCATAAACTCTAAATTTTCTTTTCAAAATTGAAATTTACTGGTCGAACGAATTGAATTTTACTATTTACGCTAAAAAATATTTGAACTTTACTATTCTAACGAATTGAATATTACTATCTTAACGTGTTGTCGTAAATTTTGAATTTTCTTTCCTACACTTTCACAGCATCCAAGCAACCGTTACGCATTACCAAAATCCAGATTAAATCACCAAAATCAGGACGCAATCATAGAGTTCAGAATTAAGATTTTTCAGTGACAGAGGCAGCCAAGCACTGACCTTGAGAGCCCTAAGGCGCGAAGCTGCGGTTTTGAACATGGCGATGGATGCTGATGATCACACAACCAAAATCCTAGACTGTACGGACTCCGCCGTGTCTGTGAAATTTGGAAAAAGGTGTCAGAAGGGTGGAGGAGAAGACTCCGCCGTGAGGAACTCACTGGTTAGCGCGGGTTGTGCCCCCCACCATTGGCCACCGACACACCGTGTATGGAATTTTCTAGAGGGAGAACTCTGTACGGTTAAATTTGATCACAAGATTTGACATCGACGGACAGAGTGGTGCCAACTCATCACGAGTGTCCGGGCATATATTTTTGGATTTGGTTTGGGCTCAAACTGAACTGGGTCAAAAGAAAAGAAAAAACAAACAATAAACTATTCTTATTAATATTTTCTTGTATAACAAGAAAAATTAAAATCAAAATCAAAATCCCACTAATTATTGTTTAATTTAAGCACTAGATTTGAATGTGTGAAAATCTCTATATTTATCGAATGTGTTAAAATCTCTTAACTATGGACATCCAAATTGGTTCAAGGTAAGTGGTTTATCGAATGTGTTAAATTTTCTATATTTCGTGATGTCATTTGTATTCTTTATAGAATATCTCTCTATTCAAAGTTAGGGTGCGTGTACGTTTTAAGATGAATAGTGTGCGTGACATATGATTCCATTTCAAGCAGTTGAATAATTCTAGCAACTTATAAGCATCCAAGAATGTGAATAGATCCTTTTTAAACTAGTAGCTCATGGTGATGCTAATGTGATATGAGACACTGATATCCTTAGTCAGATTATTCTGTTTAGAATTGACCCTTTTTCTTGCAAGATTTTAAATTCTTGGGTATCATGCCAGCTTGAAAGCAAATTCAGACATTTTTAGAAGCTTGAAGATGAGCAATGAAGTGGATCGAGGTGAACATAAAACAATTATAATATAAACAAGATGAGACAGAGTGAACAAGTTTATAAGGGAAAAGAATAAAATCAGTTCTCATATATATTCCTCTTGTAATCACAAGTGACAGTAGGATTATAAAATATAAAAAATTCTTCCTTCTTTCTGGTAACACAATCAGATTTAGAATATATATGCAGAGAATGTCCATGAAATTCCTGAAATGGAATGGAATATTATCAATATTCTTTATGTGGATAAGTAGTTCTAGTGGAAGTCATAGTTAGTTGCTTCTATCCCATAATTAGGGTGATCCTTTTGTTCATATTTTAACTTGTAACCAAGAAATGATTAAAAGAAAATTTGCATTTGGATAACATAAATAACAAAAAGAGAATGAATTTTTGGACAGAAAAAACAGAAAGAAAAGAGAAGAGATTATGCTAAACTCATTCATGTAGTTTACTGCACATCAGATTAATCAACTGCCATCTCTTTCCTTCTACCTGTCCTGCAGATGCTATTCTCTTCAATATTCACCTGCTCTCCTTTTCCTGCAAAACAATTTGCTTCCTATTGCAATGGCTATATACAAATAGTAGCTTGGCTCTGTCTTAATTTGTTGCAAAAACTAGAACCATGGCAACAGCAATGGGAGGCTTACATGGGCCAGTGGTTGCAGCTTCCTGGACTAAAGACTGCACTTTCCAATTGTTGTCAAATTGTTAGCTCTTCTTACTTCTCCAAGTCATATATATGATCATATTTCTAGCTTATATCACACAACGAATGTCAATAAAAAATTTCTTCATTTTTTTTGTTCAGGCTTTCTGCAGAAACCAATTTTCACCAAGACCTCCACTGCTAAGCTCAGTTTTCCTTGCATGCCATTTATTGGGGGTGCCTTCAAGAAAACAGAAACTCATGTTGTATCTCCTAACATATCTTCACCAAGTGTGACGACGGGGTTACTTGATGCATGGGACGATGAATATGGTGGAGTCATAATGAATTCAGAGAGCCTACCCATGAGTGCAAATGCTTTTGCATCTGCTTTTCAGGCTTCTCTGTCCAACTGGAAAATGAAGGTCTAATAGATGTGAACTATATAAAAATTCCTACCTTATTCTAACAAAAGTCTGATCTTTAAATTGAGATGCTATTATGTGCAATGCAGGGGAAAAGAGGGGTATGGCTCAAAATACTACAAGAGCAAGCTGATCTTGTCCCAATTGCAATTCAGGTAACAATTCAATTCAATTCAATTCAAATGGTCTGATTGTCTGTTATCATCAATGATAAAATCCCTTTCCTAATCATTGTTTATTTTCATCTAAACATAAACTACTAACTAATCTTTAAAGTGGCAACCAATTTGTTAATTAAAATTTTCAAGACATCTGATTATCCTGCATTCAGGAGGGTTTCAACTATCACCATGCTGAACCAGGATATGTTATGTTAACATACTGGATACCCAATGAGCCTTGCATGCTTCCTGCTAGCCCCTCACATCAAATTGGCATTGCAGGATTTGTGATCAATGACAAAAGAGAGGTATCTATGGCAATCATCTTTACAATTATTTTGAAGTTTATGGGACCATTTGTAAAAATTCATAAAAATTTATATCTGATGCAATTTAAATAACACAAGGTTCTTGTGGTCAAAGAGAAGTGCCCTTGTAGCTGCTGTGGTGTGTGGAAGTTGCCCACTGGTTATATCAACAAGGTTAATATTTTCTAGTCTTGATTTCTCTGCTTTTGAATTCATAATTTCCAGCAAGCCCAACAATAATGTGATCTTCTTCTTTTCTCAGTCTGAAGACATATTCTCTGGAGCTATCAGAGAAGTGAAAGAAGAAACTGGTGTAAGAACATAAATATTCATCTTTCTGTACCATTATCATTGAATTTCACTTGTTTAACTACTTCTTACTGGTCACCCATTTCTCTGTTCACAGGTTGACACAACTTTCCTGAAAATGGTAGCTTTCAGGTAAGGCTTTCTGTTGGCACCAATCATTCCTTTGGTTGGTTGACACAAATTTCCTATGAAATAGCCTAACTTGATCCTATTTCTTTTTGCATGTGTAATTTCTATTTCCTTCTCCTCTGCAACTTGAAAGGCATGCACACCTGGTTGCATTTGAGCAGTCAGACTTGCTCTTTGTCTGCATGCTCAAGCCATTGTCTTATGACATCACAATAGATGACAAGGAAATCCAAGCTGCTAAGGTATTATATATAATGAAAATTTACTCACATTCATCCAATTTTTCTTTTGTTCTCACTCCAATTTCTGATTGATTTGTTTGATCATCTTTCTCAGTGGATGCCTCTTGATGAGTTTATTGCCCATCCATATTACCAAGATGACCCCTTGTCCAAGAAAGTCATTGAGATATGCATTGCGGCTAAAGAAGATCGCTACAGTGGCTTCACTGGTCATCAGCTCAACTCAAAAATTGATGGAAAATTATCCTACTTGTATTATGATGATTTAAAAAATATTTAGAAATTTCATCTTCTATATTATTCCAAGAGGCATGCCTCCTCAATCTAATAATATATGATACTATATGTTATCAAGTTTTTATTTTTTCTATAATCTTTATAACAACATCAAGAAAACTATTTTCTGTCATGTTAATGACAGGTGATTTATATCTTAATATTAAAAAACAATTTTAGCAATATATTTTAAAACTAATATTATAGTAACTAACAATTACCTCACTTCCAACAACATGTTATCCCTCTAATATTATATTAAAGGGTAATAAAACGACATCAAAATAAACCCATAAATTTGAATCAACAATTGATTAATGAGTACAAATAACCTTCTTGTTACGTGACTCGATCGATTAAATTATGCACTTGTCATCCATTTTCATTGCTAGCTCCTTAAAAATTCAAAATAAATATTAATAATTGTTCAACTCTTTGATAACACAAAAAACCAACTTCTATTTATCCAAGAGATGAATGTACTTCAAAAGAGTGTTTTCGACTATGGAAGGAAGAACCCTAATCTTAATCAATCATCTGATGGGGACAATAAACATTAACACCAGAAGGGTTTAGATGGTTCTGCAGAGCACAGATTAATTAAGATGCATACAGATGGCACAAGCCCACTGATCTCTGCTGTCCATGATGTCATTGACAACTTTGACAATGACATAAGCACCATCTCAGATTCAATGTGACGAATTCCAACCAGCCCATATCCTCCCTCCTCCATGAACCCTGCTTTTTTCTCCAACCATATCATCATCACTTTTCATTTTCCACGTCTCCCCAAAATTCCTGTGAACTTCTTTGCTTTTGCTTCTCTACAAAATCACTTTCTAGAAAACGACGTGTCGTATCCACTCAAACACTGGCGCCCAAACTTCAACGGTCAAACGTTTCCTTTTCTTTTTCGGTATTTTTTCTTTTTTCTAAATTCTAATTTACTTATCCTCCACTCCACGACTATTAATTTCTGCCAGCCCAGAAATGTAAAATTGTTAACCGTTAAAACAAAATAATTCTAGAATCTATAAATTTCCCAAAATGGTAGTTGGTTTCTTCTCCAAGTATTGAAGCTCAGGTTTTTTCTTATTCATCGTCAAAAACCCATAGAGAAAGCGAAACAAACAAGTTTCATCCACCGTTTTTCTTTTTCTTTTTTTCACTCTTTCTTCTTTTTCTTCTATATATGATTATGAATACGGTGGTTTTCTCTGTTTCTTATACCAGTCCAAACTACTTGTCGTTGCTCTCTGTTTTCTAATGAACTCAGTTCACGCTTCTTCCTCTGCAACCATTTCTCTGAAGCCTCCACGTAACTCGGATTCAAACTCGTTTTCGGGTTCCAGAAATTGGGATACGAGCTCTTCTGGTTCGGGTTTCAAAGTCGGGTCCTTTTCTCGTTCCCTGATGGAAAACAAGCCTCATAAGGTTGTGGTCGGTGACGCTGGTTATGTGCTCGAAGATGTTCCTCATTTCTCTGATTACATTCCTCATCTCCCTGTACGTCGTCGTTCTCTGCCTTATCTTTTTATTACCCGCCAAAAAAAAAAAAAGACAAAAACTTTTCTTTTTTTGGGGGTTTATGGATGGTTAGTGGTTGGTCTGGTTGTTTATATTTGTGAGTTCTTTATGTATATTGTGGTAATGATGGCTTGTTTTTTGATGGCCTTGTAGACCTACCCAAATCCATTGCAAGACAATCCTGCATACTCAGTCGTCAAGTAAGTTGTCTTCAGATTTGTTATGTGCATGTCTCATTTCTCTGCACAATTGGCTAATTTATAGGAAATTGTTTTTTTCTAAAAATTTATTTCCAGGCAGTACTTTGTTAATGTGGACGATACTGTTGCCCAAAA